TTCAGTCTCCCCGTTCTCTGACTGTGTGGCCTTGATTATGTTACTTAACCTGTCCAAGCCACAGCCTCAGAGGGAGTCTCTGAGGTTTAATGATGATTTTTATGGCACATGGAAGACACTCAATAAACAGTAGGAATTATCAAGGCTTCCAGGGAACAGTTGAGCAAGCTGTGTACTGCTCAAGTGCATTGACGTGTGGGTATTTGTTGTAAAGTTTCTGGCGGATGACAGTAAAATCTTATTCCAACCAAGTTGTTATAATATGACAATTTTCTAATAGAAGAAAGAAAATGTTGGAGGAAAGGGTGGCTTTAATTAATGTAAGCTACCCTGTATGTTACTGGCACTCTGCCTAGTAGTAATCCTCTCTTCCAATCATGAGTCTATTTCTTCTATCCTTAGATACTAGTTCTTGAACAAGCGCCAGCTCCGGCAGCCCACAGGTGCTGAGAAGGATGGGACGGGCCCTGGGGATGGGTCGGCCAGAGCCAGTGCCCAGCAGGAGCCCCCACGTATAGGGCACCCCCAGCCAGCTGGGCCTACCTCTCACCCTCCCCCTTTTACAGGTCAACATGGTGGTTTTAGGCAAGCACCTGGGCATCCCCAAGCCCTTCGGGCCCATCATCAACGGCCGCTGCTGTCTGGAGGAGAAGGTGCGGTCCCTGCTGGAGCCGCTGGGCCTCCACTGTGTCTTCATCGATGACTATTTGTTCTACCACCAGCTGCTCGGGGAGATCCACTGTGGCACCAATGTGCGCCGGAGACCCTTCTCCTTCAAGTGGTGGCACATGGTGCCCTGAGCCTGCATCCCCTGCCATCCTCTCTGCCTGCCTGCCAGGGACCCCTGCCAGGGTGAGGGCAGGAAACTCCACCTGGCCTCCATCCAACTGGGGGAGCCTTGGGCACTGCCCCCTGAGTGCCTGCAAATGTGTTGGCTACCGTGGGCACCAGGAGACAGGGCTGGAGAGCACACATCCTTACCTCTGGGTCCTTAGCTCCCCAGCCTGAGGAGGCCTGCCCTCATCCCTCCCTCTCCTCTTCCCCATCCACAGCTCCCCAGGCTCTGGAACAGAGCAGCAGCTTTAACGTGGTCAAGGATGGCTGTATGTGGCTTTGGCAGGCGCCCCACTTTGAATTGCTCCCCCTCTGTTCTGACAGTCCCTTCATGTTTGTACCAGGAATGGGGCCCAGAGGGCCTGGGCTCTGAGAATGTGGACCCTGGGTGTAGGCCCTTTAGGGCTCTCACAAGACCAGGAGGGGCAGGGGAGCCACCTTCTCTTATCTACCAGCTATCTTCTCCTGCAGGGGAACCCCGATGCCCGCTGTGACCGCCTAGTCCTCATTAGCCACATTTACATAGGCAAATAAGGACAGGAAAATCCAGTGTCTGATGGCCTGTTTTATAAAGACAAGGCAACAAAAACCCTTTAAATACCTGACTCCATTCTCAGAAGGGTGCTTGTTAGCTGTCTGGAAAGCCTTTAATTACAAGCCTGGCTGCTGCTTCCAGCTCGAAAAGCGCTGAGAAGCCAGGAGGTGAGGAGGCTGGGGGGGCAGAGTGGCTGAGGCGTGAGGCTAAAACCTGGGGCCTGGCTTCTGTGCCCTAGGGCTCCTGGCTTTGCATTCTGGACTCTGGACATGGAGGCGGCTGGCTGTTCCAGGTGTAGAAGGGGGTGGGGCTCCAGATGCTAGAGAGGGTGACAGGCTTAGGTTATCTCTGAAGGTGGGGTTTAATTTCTTGTAATAGTCTTTAATTACTCCCCTTTGCTCTGCAGGCAGTGGGAGGGAAGGCCCTCCCATTCGCAGCCACCTGGAGACCCTGCACGTAGTGTGGGTTTCACCTGTGAGTAACCCTGTGGCAGGCCCGGGCCCCTTCCATAGACCTCAGCTGCCACGGGACTGAATAGCCTGGCCCTGGGGTGAGGTCCCTGAGATGTACAAGGCAGCCTAGCTTGGCCAGTGCAGGACAGGAGGTGGCCCCCGCCCCAGACAGGCCGGGCAGGAGGGGGCCAGCCTCCTCCCCCCTCTGCCAATGGGGCCATCTCAGGGCCTCTTAGCCCCTGGGCCTCCAACCTCTGTGTTTTTTGTGGTCCCTGGTGAGGCGGCCTAGACTGGGTCAGCTGCTGTTAACCTCTTTAGCTACAGAAAACTCAGCCATCAGAGGCTTACCTGGAAACCCAATTTATGAAACTGATAAAAACAGAACTGCTCTGGTTTAAGGTGACAGGGGCATTCTGCCTAGATGTCCCTCTTCCCGAAGTCTCTGTGGGAGCCTGTTTGCAAGCCCGTAGTCTGATGCCCACTTTCTGCTAATAGTCATGATGCAGCATAGACTGAGCCAAGAGGAGAAGGAAGGCTTCGGGGCCAGGGGTGCTCAGGAAGGGCTGGGCTTCCCCAGGGAAAGGGCTGTGGGCAGGAGGGAGTGGGTGCCGCCGAGAGATAGGGAAGGCGGGAGGCAAGCCTTCCAAAGTAGCACTGAGTGTGGGAACCTCTGGAATTGCTGCTTGGGGGACCCTGATGTCCCGTCTGAGAATGTCCTGGCTGATCGGTCACCCCTTTCTGATTAATAAAAATGTCAGCATGCATTTCTTCAAGTGGTTTCGTCCTTAGCTTCTGTTTGTTGGGCTGTGGTGGGGAGGAGAACCCGCTTCCAGCTCCACCCGCTGTGCTACCGGCTCCTTGGCTCAACTTCTGCTGGCCATGGGCAGCTTCTACCCAGCTGGGAGAGCCTCCAGGGCCAGTGCCAGGCAGGCACGCTGATTCGGCAGGATGGCTGCCACATGCCTAGAGCCCGAGGCTGGCTGCCTGCTGAGATGGCTGTCAGGGGAAGGGTGGTCCCCCCACTTCATCTCTTCTCCCTTCCCTGGGCTATCTCCTCCATCTCTCAGAGGGCAGGTGGGCTGGGCACTATTGGCAGAGGTGGGAAATTTCCCAGCAGGACTGGTACCCAGGGCCCCAGGCCACTATGATTCCCTTTGATTATTGCCCCTAAAGCTACTAGGTTACCCAACCTCAGTGGTCTGATGTCGGGGTCCTGAACATATCACCTCTCTCATCCTATATACATGCTGCTGCCTCAGACTGCACCTTCTGACACTGACTCACGTCCTCATGTTATTTTAGCTCTTGTTGTGGACTAAAACGCAAAAAGTTGCTGCCAATCAGTCATTGACATCTTAGTCTAAAAGAGCCATAGATGTGTTTCTAAAACCTGGAATTAATTAGGGAGAGGCAAGAGGCTGGGCCTGCCCCCAGCACTATGGGCTGGTGCCCAGGGGGAAGCCCCCACCTTCAGCATCTATTCCCCAACTGTGCTCACAAGCAGGCTAGGGAGATTGTCTGGGGCCTTGTCCTGAGCCCAGAGCTGAGTCAGCCACCAAACCATTTTTTTTTAATTTTGGTATCATTAATCTACAATTACATGAGCAACATTATGGTTACTAGACTTCCCCCATCATCACGTCCCCACCACATACCCCATTACAGTCAGTGTCCATCAGCATCACCAAACCATTTTATAGCCAAAAAAGTGAAACTATCATTGGGCCCAGTATCCCAGCATCTAGCTCCCCTTAAGAACATCTCCCCCGGGAATTACGCATGTTCTGTGTGATCCCACTGGGAGAGAACTGTTAGGAGCGTGTGCCAGCTTCCCTTTGGACATCGTCCCATGTGCCTTTCCCTTTGATGATTTCAGTTTGAATCATTTTGCTGTAAGAAATCACAATCATGACTATGGGAGAAAAAAAAAAGAATATCCTCTCCCCAAACTGGGATATGGGAACACCAGGCTTAAGAGTCCTGCTGGGACCCTTGAACTGGTACAAATGCACCAGTGAGAGACCCTGGGGAGCAGGTCCTAGTCCCCACCCTGCCTCAGACTGCCTGCATCTCCAGGGAAAAGGGAAGGCACTTCAATTCAGCACCTTCTGCACCTTGCTACACGGGGTGTGTCCCCACCATTATCTCTGCCAGGGCTGGTGATGAGCCACATTTTCTACAGATGAGGAAAGCAAGGCTCTAAAGGAAGGATGTAGTCCCCCAAGGCCACGGAGCCGGCGGATGGTGGCAGCAGATCTGAACCCAAGCCCCCTCTCCCCAGAGCCCTTGGTCCTGCTGTTCCAGGTGGCCGAATGCCCCCTTTAGCTTCAGTTTCCCCTCCTGACAAATGAGCCCCTCTATTCTGACATTCTAAGCCCCTCCTGGCCCAAGAGGGTTTTCACCCTCATCATTTACCCTTTCTGGAGGTTTTTGGCACCTCATAATAGCCACCACCACCACCAATAAAATAAGGCCCAGTTCCATGCTAGAGCTCTGTACACATTGTCCCCATTTAAGCCTCCCAACAACCATTTCTCAGAAGGGAAAAGGGAAGCACAGAGCAATTGAATGACATGCCCACAGTCACCCAGCCAGGATGTGGTTGAAACACGGCTGAAATTCAATCCTGCTTCTAAAATCAATGCTCTTAGGAAAAAGGTTGGTGCTTCTCAAAGTTCATCAAAATGCTTTGCAGTGCTTATAAAAAATCCAGATGCCAGGCTGCACCCCTAACCCACTGCATTAGATTGAGGTGGGGCCTAGGGATCTACATTTTTACCAGCTTCACCATCAGGGTAGAGAACCTCGGGGCAAACAAAAGCGTCTCTGAAAATGCAGGTAAAGATAGTGAGGATGAGTGTGGAAAGTGAGGAAGGGGCCAGTTCAATACCCTGTATCTCTGCACTGCCCAAGGCCCCGGTGCCCTGACCAGGTACAGTGTGGGGAGTTGTTCTCCTTAGAATGAGAAATTAACTCCCCGGCTGCAGAGGCGGGAGCAACAGGCTCATATGCAGATTTGGGGTTCCTTCCAGCCAATCCTGGGCTCCTGGCTCTGGGAAGGGGCTGGGTTTCCAGGACTGGAGCCAATGAGCTTGCACGCAGGGCCCGAGGGGAAGGCCAGGGTCTTTTTAACCACATGCCTAGGAGCCTATGGGGCAGTGTTGGGTTTGGTGGCCCAAGCCCGGTCCGAAGTTAGCATGTCGCTGCAGAGGATCGTGCGTGTGTCCCTGGAACACCCCACCTGTGCCGTGTGTGTGGCTGGAGTGGAGACCCTTGTGGACTTTTACGGGTAAGAGCAAGCTGTCTGGGCGTTTGCAGGCCCTTGGTGCTGACCTCCTTGGACTCTCCCTGCCAGCCGTGCAGGGCTTTCTCAGGGCTCACGCCTGGCTTGGCTGCCCTCTCCTGAGTCTTGGCCTTGGAACATCAGCTAACATGGAAGCCTGGGTCCTCGAGTTTCTCAGCCTGGTTTCTTGAAGACCCTAGCCAGGACACTTGCAGTGTGGGGGACTGAATGGGGGAACTGGCAGTAGCTAAGCCCCAGTCTCAGGCCTTGGGAGGTGCTGGCGCCATGGGGGCTTGGGCACTCTTCTCTGCCCCGAGGATTCTGCAGGCGGGTCTGGGGGTCTGGCTGTGCACACGAGAATAGGATGAGGTGTACCTCTCCAAGCCCCAAACAGAGCATCAAGTAATTTTTTAGAAATCACGTATACTCACGTAGCACTTACCCTGTGCCAGGCACTGTTCTAAGAGTTTGACAAGCCTCTTGAATTTAACCAATTTAACTTTCATAACAACCCTATGAGCTAACCTTATAATTGGCTTCATTTTGTTTGGCAGACGAGGAAACTGAGACTCAGAGAGAGCAAGCCATTTGTTCCAGTCACACAGTTACTAAGTGACAAAGCCAGGATTTAAAGCCATTCCTGGCTAAGTGTCTTATGCTTTTAGCTGTCTGCCACTCAAGGAGGAAGGATCTGGTTTCCTCCAGCCATTCAACGTCCATGCATTATGTCCCTACTGTGTGCTATGGCCATGTCCTTGAAGCTGGTGGGGGGAGGTTCCTGGTTGTTTCTCCCAGGAAGAACAGAAAGGTTTGGGCAGGGCTTCAGGAGCTAGTCTCTGAGAACCACCAGGAGCTGACTACTTAGGAGAAGAGTCCCCAGAGGTCCCAGCTCCAAGGCCAAGCTGGGGACACAGGTAGTCAGGAGACTGGCAGGGAAGAGGGCAGAGCCGTGCCACTGTTCCCGTCTCACAGGTCTCCCACCCGCTCCTCACACCAGGTTTCTTAGCCCTTTTGACGTGGCAGTTCCCTGAGGTGGGCTGCCCTGTGCACCATGGGATGCTGAGCAACAGCACGGCTTCTGACAATACGCCAGTAGCACACCCTCCCCTTGTGACAACCAGGTGTGTCCAGACATTTCCAGATGTGTCCTGGAGGCAAAATCACCCCCAGCTGAGAACCAGCACCCCGGACAAAGACTAAAAATTGCAGTGAACTTGGTTGGAAGCCCAGATAGGGCTGATCCCAAGGGTGCTGGATGAGACGGGGTGAGGAGCCGCTCGTGGGGGTGAGCAAGGTCTGGAGCAGACCCAGCCCAGCTAGGTATGGGGAGCTAACACCTGGTTGCAGGCGGGTGGGCAGCAAGGAGTGGGGATGTGCTTGGCGGCTCCTGAAGGCAGGGGCAGCCACAGAGACTGTGCTGGGTGGGAAGATGAGGGAGGAGGGGCGCTGTGCTCCCTGGCACCACCACCTCCTCCCACGCTGCGCGCCTGCCAGGGGTGACTCACCTGTCCTGGTGGCCTCTTGCCCTTTGGGCAGATGTGCCTCCAGACTGACCTGCCCTGAGAAGGGCAGAGCTTCCATAGAGGATGAAGGGTGGGTTGGGGCCTTGGAAGGCAAAGGCAGCCTTGTCTCGTGGTCACTTGAAGGAGCGGCCACTTTGGGGTTCACAGAGGGGTCTGTGGATGGGACAGTTGCAGGGGGCAGGGGGCAGCCTCAGGCACCTTCAAAGAAGCACTCGTGGGCCTCAGGTGACCTTGGGGGTGGGAGAGAGCTCCTAGTGCATTCATTCATGCATTCATTGAGTATTTCTTTGGGGTCTAGTGTGTGCCAGGCACAGGGACACCATGGGGGGCAAGCAGGCATGGCCAGGACGTCTGAGAGCCCTGTCCGTCTGGAGCTCTTGGGAGGCTGGCCCACTGTGCAGGAGGGCTGTGGACAGGATTCCTGTCTTGCAAGGGGAGCAGGTTGGCTCTTAGGTCCCTGCCAGCTTGGAAATGCCATGCTTTAGCAACCCTGGGTGCTCAGACTATGGGTCAACAGGAGAAAGGGCAGGGGGCTGGCTGGCTCAGTCCTGGCTCTCTGACTTGGTAGCTGTCTGACCTTGGGAGAGTCACTTAACCTCTCTGAATCTCTAGAGAGTGGAGATGATAATAATCTCAGAGATGATACCCAGGGCCTGTTCCAGACCAGTCACTACATTAAGTGCTTTCCATATGTTAGCTAATTCTCACAACAATTCTAGAGGTGGGTACATCATACCTATTTTATGATAAGGAAACTGAGGCTCAGAGAAGTTGAATAACTTGCTCCATGTCACACAGCCAGTGAGGAATGGCAGAGCCTGGATGTAACCCAAGCAGTTTGACCTTTATGTCAAAGGCCTATTGGGAGGATTGAATGAGATTGTATGTATAGAGCCATAGGTATGCCAGGCAATGGCTGGCATATAGAGAACATTCAATTATGGTAACTACCACCATTATTATCATGACCATCATCATTTTAAGGCTCCATCCTGGTGCTTTGAACAGCCTCAAGTGTCCACAAACCTGCCATACACAAGATGGCTGGGGAACAGCCACTGAGCCATTACTGGGAGAAGGAGGAGCTGAGAAACAAGAAATTAGCAGAGGCTGAGCAGTCAGGGCAGACTTCCTGGAGGAAGAACAACAACCTGAGCCTTGAAGGACAAGCACAGGAAAGACCACTGGGGCTCTTTATCTGTGGCAATGGCATAAACCCTGTTGCCCTGCCTTCTGTTGAGTTGAACATGGCCAAGCTTGGGGGCTTTGTTTTCCTGAGCAGGGATTCTGAGCGGGAATGGGAAGGAAGGCTACCTCATGTCGTGATGAGCCATGCCCTGGGGATGAATGTGCAGCCAGGATTGAGAACTGCTGCCCTGGTCGGCAGCACCCCTTGCTCAGCAGAGATGGTCACGTAGAGTGAAAAGGGTAGGGTACCTGGGGGCCAGGGACCCCGAGTTTTGGTTCTAGCTCGGTCAGCCTTTGCCATAGTATTTTGAGCAACTTTCTGTCCTTTCCCGGGTCTCAGTTTCCCCACATGTACCTGAAGAGGTTGACATAGAACAGTGCGTTTCAAGTTCTGCTCATGGAGGCCTCTGAGCCCCCTCCCTGATTTGACAAAGTAGCTCCCCTTCTGCCTCCACCGGGTCTTGTTCGGTGTAAGGGCTCTGACCTGCCCGTGCAGGGAGGTAGGTCCGGGGAGACTGATGCCTCTTTAACTCATTTCTTTCGGCTCTGGTAAAAGGGTTTGCATGGACACCATTTACCAGGGACGGGAAGAATGTGGTATTAAGCGGCCCAGTGATTTCCTGACCCTGGTTCTCTTGGTGAGGCCAGCAGACTCAAGAGCTGGGAGCCCCGAGCAGGGAGTGGAAGCTGCCTCCAGAGGCTGAGCTGGGTGGGCCTTGGTCTCTTCTCCGCCCGTGGACCTGCTCAGTGGGGACCTCGCGGGTCGTCTTGTCAGCCTTTCTGTTCTGAGCCACAGAGACCTTTCCCATCCGCTTCTAAGCTCTGAAATGTCTGGTTTTGTTCACCAGAAGCCAATGCCCTGAGCCCATGAAAGAGGATGGGTTTAGATTTGCAAGGTGGTGGGGACAGACTTGGCCATGGGTCCTGGCTGTCATGTACCAGCTGTGTGACTTTGGGCAGGCCACCTGTCACTTCTGAGCCTCAGTTTCCTCATCCATAAAGTGGAGATAATAGCACTGACATCTTCTGGCTGTAGAAGCTACCTTCATCACCACTGTGACCATCATCATCCTCACTGCTGAAGGGGTGACACAGGAGCATAAAGGAAGACCTGACTTGTCCTGACTCCCAGGAGAGGGTGGGCTTGCACTGAGTCGGCCCCACACTCCCCAGGGAACCAGGAGCCAGCGTTTTGGAGACAGTCTAACCTGAGCCATGATTCTGACTTCACTGGGCATCAGTATGGTTGAATGCAGGTTCCAGGACCCTGCCTGCAGCACTTCCAGTTCTGGAATCTGCATTTCCAACAGGTGGGTCAGAGGTTGACCACTGTGAGGGTGACCCACTCTCCCAGTTTGCCTGAGAAATTGTAGGTTTTAGCACTGAAAACCCTGCACCCAGGAAATGCCTTAGTCCCTGGCAAAATGAGATTGTTGGCCACCCTGCCACATTCTACCCACTATTCATCAGCCCCTATCTCAGGCTGGCAGGGATGGCTCAGTGCTGGGGAGGGCCTTGGCTTGTCCTGTGCGTGGACAGCTTCAGCTGGGGAGAGCCCAAGGCCCCAGGTCATGTGCACTCCCCAGGGCTGGGCCAGGCACAGTGTCTAGAGCAGCCCGCTAGCAGCTCAGGGAGGCCCGGCTGGAGAAACATCTTGATCCAGGTGAGGCTCTGGTTGCTTCCCCTGTCCTCCGGGAAATGGGAAATCCAGACCCTCCCTTACCTGAGGCAGGTTCTCCGCCCACAGCCAGTCCTTTGATCTCCTGACACACAGCTTCCACGATGAGACATGACCGCTGTACCGGGAGTCCGGTTCCCCACCTTCTAGTCCCTTCCCTTCCGGGCCTCATTTTCTCTAGAAGCAAAATGAGGGCATGGCTTTGGGTGGCTCTGACCTTCGCTCCCCGACTCCATCTTCTGTCATCACCACTTTGTGGACGGTGACACTGAGGCAGGGGGAACCAGGTCATTCCCTCCAGGTCACCCACCTGGTGAGTCGTGGGACTGGGATTTGAACCCAGGATGCCTGGGTCCACAGGCTTCAGCACCTCACTGGCTCCCCACTGCACAGAGGTGAAGTGAAAGGAGCACCTTACAGCCTGTTTGTACTTGACCTCCTAAGGCCCCAGGGGAAATGTCTTTCCCTCAGACTTGCCCGCTCCTTGTCCTTGGGGCACCTGCCTTCCTCTGGGAAGCCTTCCCCAGATGCCCCAGCCCACCCCGCAGCCTGCCTCTGTCCACCTGTTTCCTGCCCCCTCCTTTACTCTTTGCTGCCCTCCCCCAGCAGGTGGTTTTCCAAGCCTTTCCTATCTATTACTGCAGTTGAGCCTCAGGGTCACCCATGAGGGTGGCTGGTGGGGGATGTGTCCTTATCCCACTTGCTGGGTGAGCTTGCTGAGCCCCATGGGGCTATTACTCAGGGTCACCTGACCAGTGTGCCACCCAGCCTGGTCTAGAACCTGACTCTTGACTCCGGTCCGGCACCACCAAGCTCCCGGCTTCTTCAGGCCCCTCCTGCACAGGGACACTTCCATCTTCATTGGGATTCCCTGATGGAGAGGATCAGGGAACTGTGGGGGAGCTGGACTGAAATCCCCCAAACCCAGGAGCTGGGGCCTGGGAGCTGGGTGGGGTTCAGTACTGGAAGGTCCATCGAAGTCCCTTAACTCCAGCTCGCGGGTGCCTGGGGTCCGAGGGGCAGCTTGGAGGTGAGCAGAGGTCCATAAAAAAATGTACTTGCTTCCTGGGGACTTGGGGGCCAGGTGCCTTCTAGAGTGGGGCTGAGGGCTCCCTGGGGTGGGAGGGGGGCCTTTCACACCGGGTCTGTCTCCCTGTGTCTCTGTCTTTCTGGCTGTCCACCACTCTGGGCCTCTGCATGCCTCTTTGTCTCTCTGTCCCTCTGTCCCCTGTGCCTCTCTATCCAGGCTCTCCATGTCCACTGATGGGCATGACGACTTCAAAGTCCTGGAAATTACAGGCATTTGAATTAGGGTTGCCAGATAAAATCCAGGATGCCTAATTAAATTTGAAATCTGGATAAACAATCAATAATTTTTTATAATAAGTATGTCTCAAATATTGCATGGGATGTACTTAGACTAAGACAATTATTTGTTGTTTATCTGAAAGTCAGGTCCAACTGCTTAGGAGGAGAAACGGGTGTGTCAGCCACTCCCACCTGGTGAGGACACCTGGCAGGCCCGGCACTGGAGCGGCACCTGACGGAGCAGAGAGCTTGGGCTTGGTTGATTTCTCTTCTTACAGAAAAGCCCCTTTGAGAAGTATCAGAATCATGCTGGTACAGGAGTGAAGAGGGTGTTTTAAAGGAGGTTTGCTCTCCTCCAAGCAGAGGCAGGGAACAGAAAGGACCTGGGGTTGAACCTGGGGAGAGTCTGTTGCCTATCCGGAGCCTCAGTTTCCCCATGTGTAAACAGGAGTAATAGTTCCCTCCTCCCTGGGCTGCAGTAAGGATTAAACTAGCTGGTGGTTGGGAAGGCTTGGTCCAGCCTGCCATGGCAAGTGTGTAGGGGATGGGGATGGGGATGTGGGAGGCAATGATCATCTTCATTGCTCTTGGGGAGGTGGTGGTAAAAATGTGCACTCGGGAGCCGGAAGGCCTGGACCTGGATCCCAGTTCTGCCACTCACTAGCTCCATGACCTGGGACAGGTTACTTAAACTCAGTTTCTGTCTGTGAAATGGGAGACAATAATAGTGCCTACCCTCCTAGGGTTATGGAGAGGATTACAGGACATAATACACAAAAGGAAAGCAGACAGGGCTACGACACAGCGAGAACTCCACAGGTGTCAGCTACTGCTATCCCCCAGGTGCATGTGTTTGCTGCTTCCCCCAGGAAGCCTTCCCTACGGCTCACAGTGGCTTCTCCCTGCATGGGATCCCACTGACTCCTGGCCCCATGACCCTGAGCCCCATCTGCTGCCCTGTCCATGCTGTCCTCAGCTCTCTAGTGGGATCGAAGGCTCTGGGCTCGTGGGGAGGTCAGTGAGTGTACGTGCCTCAGGCGGCAGTGCCCGTGTGCGCAGTGGGGACCCCACAGACAATCAGAGGTGAACAGACTGATTTCAAACAGGACTCCCAGACTAGCTGGAGTGGGAGGAACACAGTCCCAGGACCGGGGGACATCACAAAATTTTTAACCGTACAAATAATGCCTGGTTGTTTGAATCTGGCTGAATTTCCCAGGCAACGCTTCAGTGCCTTGGAAAAGCGTGGGCTCTGTGTCAGAAATCCAAGGGCAATCCTGGCTGAGCCATTTGATGTTGTGTAATCTCAGGCTTGTTACTTGATCTCTCTGAGCTACAGTTTCTCACTTTTCAAATGGAAAATGAAACTTTGCAGACTTGTTAGAATAAAAGGAGCTCGTAAATATAAGGTGGCACACCATGCACACTCACCCAAATTAATACCCTTCCCTAGGGAAGACCCCAAGGACATCTTTTCACCTGCTAAAAAGGAATGCCATGGGACTTGGGGGCGTGAGAACTGCTCTTCTTTTTTTTATTTTTGTATCATTAATATACAATTACATGAGCAACATTGTGGTTACTAGATTCCCCCTTTATCAAGTCCCCCAGACATACACCATTACAGTCACTGTCCATCAGTGTAGTAAGATGCTGTAGAGTCACTACTTGTCTTCTCTGTATATACTGCCTTCCCTGTGACCCCGCCCCCTACATTATGTCTGCTAATCGTAATGCCCCTTTTTCCCCTTATCTCTCCCTTCCCACCCACCCTCCCCAGTCCCTTTCCCTTTGGTAACTCTTAGTCCATTCTTGGGTTCTGTGAGTCTGCTGCCATTTTGTTCCTTCAGGTTTTTCTTTGTTCTTATGCTCCACAGATAAATGAAATCATTTGATAGAGAACTGCTCTTCTTAAAGCCACAGTCTCAGAACTGCAGGGGCATCCACTAGCTTGCTGTTGGCTGGTGTCCACTGAGCTCTTTGTGCCTAGCACTGAACTGGGGGTTATGACGCACACAACTGGGTCCTAACTTTCAAGGAGCGTGTAGCTCTGTTGGGAGGTAAAGAAACTCACAGGGAAATGGCAATGAACACAGAGCCTTGGAATGTGAGAATATGCCTATATTTGTGTGGGGTCCAGGCCTGATTTCCAGGAGCTTGCTGTGAGGATCTGAAAAACTTTGGGGTGGTCAGGGAAGGCTTCCTGGAGGAAGCAAGAGCTTGAGCCAAAGCTCAAGCATCTGAACAAGGGCTGCCCCTTCTAGCACCTCCCATGGCTTCTTGTTCTTCCCAGGTCAGTACCTGATGGCACAGAGATGTTTGAGGTCTATGGGACCCCTGGTGTGGACATCTACATCTCTCCTAGCGTGGAGAGGGACCGGGAATGTGCAGACAACAGGCGGTGGCCCTTTGGCAAGGGGTTGGAGATCATCGTGGTCATGAACTCACCCAGCAACGACCTCAATGACAGTCATGTGAGCAGGTCCCCTGGTCTGGGAGCCAGTGGGGAGGCAGCGATCCAGCTCCACATGTGCCCTCTCTTTATTCAGAGTGCAGGGTAGCCTGATGGGTAGGAACCTGGTACTGGAGCCAGCCAGCTCTGCAGCTTACAAATACAAACTGTGTGTCCACCAGCAAATCACATCACCCCTCTGGGCCTCAGTTTCCCCTTCTGTAAAACGGGGATCATCATAGCATTTTCCTCCTGGTGGTGTGGGATGGAACATAAGCCAGCGTTTGTTCCTTATCTTGCTTCCCAAGACCCCTGGTGGAGGGAGCTGTCCCAATTCTTCTATGTTGGTCCTCAGTTTCTCCATTAGAGGTCTGAGGGTTGATGAGGTGAACTTTGCCCTTCTGAATGAAAGCAAGAAAGCAGAGATGGGGGAGGGATGCGGCTGCCAGGGGAGACCCCTTCTCCGAGGCGCTCACCTCTCCTAATCCAGTCTCTTAGTGACCCTTTCCCTTCCCAGAGGCATGGTTGCCCTTCCTCTCCTCTCTCTGCTTCTCCAGCCAGCGAGGGTGAACTTAACAAGCCCCAGCTGAGACAGTGGGCTGGCCCCAGGGCAGGAGACAGGTGGAAGGTGGGAGAAATGGGGTGGCCCTTGCCTGCACAGATACCCTCCTTAAGGGGTGATGGGAGGGGCAGGTTCCAACTCCATGTTGGGAGCAGTGTTCCCGGAAACTGGCCCTTTGAGGTGCACTGACTACGTGCCAGGCATTGGGCAGCCATGACCTCATCTGGCCCTCACAACAGTCCTGAGAAGCAAGGTCTGATCATCCCCATTTCACAGATGGGGCCACCAAGGCCCAGAGTAATGGGCCCAAGGTCACACAGCAGGTAACTAGGAGAGCTAGAATTCAACACAGCCTGCCTAACACCTGGGGGCAGTCTCTATCACCCCGCATTTTTCCCACCTATGTATCTGAATTGAGCCTCAGCACCGAGCTCTGTGGGGCTGGTGGAACAGGTGGGGCAGTACTCCATGAGCCCATTTAACAGACGAGGAAACCGAGAATGAGAAGGGGGGTGGCTTATCTAATGTCACATGCTCCAGTGAGTGTCAGGGCAGGAGGACCAGCCAGCCTGTGAGGGACCGCTGCTGGGTGTCCTGATGAGCTGGGGGCTATAAGGGTGCCCCCCACCCTGAGTTCCTTGGTTCCAAGGACCACAGGGATTGACGAGTGTTGGAATGTTCCCCACTTTTCCTCCACCACCTTTGGCCAGGATCCAAGGAATTGTATGCCTGAGGCAGGCCTCATTGCTGGGGCTTGGCACATGGGGGTCACTAAGTGCAGGATACAGGGGCTCCCAGGACCGAGGGATGAGTGGCCTCTGTGAGATCCTGAACGTCTGGCTGAGATGAGGACATCAGGGATGCACATCAGGAGGGAATGTCCAAGTGGAGGGCTTTGGGTGGGATGGGCTTCGAAACAGCAGCCTTGAACTGCATTATCATCATCACCATCTTCAGCCTCATCTTTAGCAGTTACTGGGTGTTTAGTGAGCCAGGCACCATGCTGAGCATGTCCCAAGCCTTCCTTCTTAATTCCCACAGCTTAGTATTGACCCAATGGGATAGGAACTATTAGTATCCCCACTTCACAGCTAAGGCCACTGAGGCCCAGAGAGAATAAGTAACTTTTCTCAAGATATTCACAGAATCCGAGTCCGGGCCGTCTGACTCCAGGGCTCTGCATGAGCTCTTACCCAGTGCTCCCTGTCCTCTAATCATAGCAGCTGGTATTTCTTGGGCACTTCCTACAGGATCAGTCCTTTATACATATTGTTTCTAAGCTATAGGACAATCCTATGAGGTAGGGACCTCTATGGTCCCTGTTTTGTAGGTGAAGAAACTGAGACAGTTCAGAAAGGTGAAGCACCTTGGCCAAGGTCACAGAAACCAGAGGTGCTGGTCTCAAGTCCAGGCCTACCTGAGTCCCATAGAAAGGGACTGTCCCTAAACCCTGCCCAGGCCAAACTTCTCATTTTATAAATGGTGAAACTGGGATCCAAAGGGAAGTGGGGGCTCGCCAGAAATCACACTGTAGTCAGCAGCACGAGACCCAGGTCTCCAAGACATCCCTCACGAAGAGTTCCCATGTTACAGATGGGCCAACTGAAGCATGGAAAAATAAATGGTACAGAGAAGGCTACAGGAAGAGCTGGGTTGGTAAACTCAACTTGGGTGCACAGAGGTTCCTGAGACCTCTTCTCCTCCTTACCAGATCCCCCAAGACCTGTCTTTGGGGGTGAGGGCTCTTGGCTTCAACTGGCTTGAAACCTGGGCCCATCTCTCTGCAGGTTCAGATTTCCTACCACTCCAGCCGCGAGCCCCTGCCCCTGGCCTATGCGATGCTCTTCCTCACCTGTGTGGGTAAGTTGGGAGCCTTAGTGGGACCCCAGCCAAGGGCAGGATGGGGAGTGGTTGGGAATGATGCTGAATAGAGATCTTTATACAAATCAACTGGTTTTATTTTTTAAAGTAAGAAGTTCACATAAAAAAAATTCAAATGGTACTAAAGAGTTTACATTGAAAAGTAAGCCTCCCTCCAGCTCAAGACCTCCACTTCCCCAAGCCCAGCATCCTTCTAAAGATATCCTGTGTTTATACAAGTAGACGCTTCTGTACCTGTATATTCCTCCCTTTTGTAAGCAAATGGAAGCATACTATGGACATGAAACTGGACCTTGCTTTTTCCAACTTGAATTTTTTCTGCCAACTTTCCACAAGTTTAAATAGAAACTCCATGCAAGATGACTCAGATGTTGGAACTATCAGACAGGAAATGTAAGTAACCATGGTTAATATGTTAAACGCTCTAAAGGAAAAGATAGATAACATGAGTGAACAGATGGGTAATTTCAACAGAGATGAAAACTATAAGGAGTCAAATGGAAATCCGAGGAAAAAAAAGTCATGGTAACAAAAATTATTTTGATGGGTTGACAGGCAGGGTTGCTATGGCTGAAAGAAGAGTCAGTGAACTTGAAGATAGGGCAATAGAGGTTACCTAAACTGAAATACAAAGGAAAAAAGGAGTGAAGTAAACAAAAAACCAGAACAGAGATTCAAGAGCTCTGGGACAGGATCAAACAGTCTAAACTCAATGACATTCCCATCAAAATCCCAACATAGCTTTTTGTAGAACTTTATAGAGCTGATCATAAACTCATGTGGAAGAGCAGAGGGTAAGAATAGCCAACACAATTTTGAGGAGTAACAAGGTGGAGGAGGTCATTGTACCAGATAACAAGATTTTTTCTTCTAAGCTATAGTACGAGGGGCAGTGTAAAATCAGTGCAGGGTTAAACATGGACCAGTGGAACAAATAGAATACCTGGAGCATAGTAACCTCAGGGCAGTATCTGACCTTCTCTGCAACAAGGCAAAGCAAAAGCACAGATAATAAGGAGAAAGATTGATAAATTAGGCTCTGTTAAAATATGAAACTTTTGTACAACAGAGGACAATTGAAAAGTCAACTATGGACTGGGAGAAGAAGTTTTCATTGCATAATGCCAACTTAGTGACTATAGATTACGGAGAACCCCAATCAACAACAACAACAAAACCCTCCCACATTAACAAAAATGAGCAGAAAATATGAACAAGCAATCCACAGAAGAGGAAGTCCCAGTGGTCAGAATCCAAATGAGAAAATGTTAAACTAAATTCGTACAGCCAAGAATGTTGACCTGGGGAGCTGCGCGCACCACAGGTAGGGTTTGCCTTGATATAGCACTTGATGAGTGCTTAGCAAGAGAGCTGACTACGCTTTATCTGAAGGAGAAATTTTTAGAAGGGAAAACTACTAAGGCATAGGGAGTGTACATTTTAAATTTGATAGGTATTGTCAAATTGCTTTCCCAAAAGACCATCCGACTTTACACCCACCAACCGCATACGGGAGTGCCTTGCCAGCACCGTGCATAATCTGCCTTCTCCATTTTGCCAGTCTGAGAGGTTGGTATCTCATTGTTGCTTAAATTTGTCTTCCTTTAGCTAAAACTAAGGTTGGGTATCTTCCCCCCCACACACGACCCAACACACACACAAATCCTTGTTCATTGGAAAATGCACAAAAAAGTGCATAAAGTTTTATTTTATATGTGTATGTGTATGTATGTGTGTATAAATAGTTAATGAATAGCTAATAATGGATAATTAATTAGTAGTTAATTGATAGCAATGAATAGTTAATTGATTAATAGTTAATAGCAAACCCTCAAGCAGCCATCACTCAGGTCAAGAATTGGAACATGACTGACACCCCAAAGTATCCCCCACAACATGCTCTTCTCTGATTGTAACTCCCTCTTCCTCTAGAGGTTCTCACTATCATGGGGTAAATATTTCCTTGCTTTCCTTTATGGTTTTATCACCTGACTATGCATACCCAAATAATACACAGTTGGCACTTAATGTGGGGGTTAGGGGCACCAATGTCCTGTGTAGTCAAAAATCTGTGTATAACTTTTGACTCCCCAAAAATGTAACTATTAACAGACTGCTGTTGATCTGAAGCTTTAACCATAACGTAAACCATGATGAACACATATTTTGTATATTATATGTATTATATACAGTATTCTTACAATAAAGTAGGCTAGAGAAAGGAAAATGTTATTAAGAAAATCATAAGGAAGAGAAAATATACTTACAGTACCTGTGTTTATTGAAAAAAATCCACAAATACGTGAAACCATGCCATTCAAACCCATATTGTTCGAGGATCAACTGTGCTCTATTTTTACCTATCTTTGAATTTCCTGTGGGTGGGTGGAATCATATTGTGCATATTCTTTGGGGTGGGGTTTCTTTTACCCCACATTATGTTTGTGAGACTCATCCACTTGTTGCATGATGGTTGGGTACATTTTCATATGTTTAAAAGTCATTTCAAAATCTCTCTCCTGCTCCGTTTGGGTTATAAAATCTCCCCCACTTTCTAGGGAGAAACATTAAGAAGGCGGGATGAGGGCTGGGATTTGGCAAGTGTGAGATGAAGCTGAAGTTCAGGGAGGCCCCACAGCCAGTAGGCGCTGGGAGTCTGGTTCACATCCATGTGTGTCTGACACTCAGGCCCGGGCTCACTGTGCCATCCCAGGGCAGTGAGGCAGCTTCGGACAGACCAAGAATGTCCAGGGCAACCTGGGCTCAGTGCAGGGTGTGCCCCAGACATCAAGCAGGGAGGGTTCAGCGAGGGCTTCCTGGAGGGGGCAGCATTTGACCTGGGCCTCTGCTCTGACCCTGCTTCCTCCCCAAGGCCTCTTTTCCCAGCCCAGGAAGGGAGGCTCCCGATGTCCCCACCTCTGGGCAATGTCTTCTTGGAAATGACTTCCACTTGCCCAGCCCCAGAGGAGATCAAAGCTAAAAGGTGGTGGCCACAGGCCTGTGCTGGGCTCCTGGGAAGCCCATAGTGACTTACCCTCCGGCCTTTCCTTGCAGACATCAGTCTGGATTGTGACCTGAACTGTGAAGGCAGGCAGAACATGAGCTTTGTGGACAAGGTAGGGGGCTTCTCCTTGTGGAGGGCAGAGTTTGGAGCTGCTCTGGACTGGGTTAAGAGGGGAAAGGCCATTATAGGTATCCCCCAGCCTCCCAGCTGATGCCAGGGTCAAGGGAGCCAGCTGGGAAGCAGGCATGGCTGGTGGTCTTCTTTCACCAAGAGAAAAAAGTCACCACCAGAATTATCCAGCACACACGTGTCCCGCCCTGGACTCTGTGGAGGAAGTCCTTTTGGACTGGCAGTCTTGTTGAGGGTCAGCAAACTTTTTCTTTAAGAGTCCGATCCTATATATATTGGCCTTGTGAGCCATGCTGTTTCTGTTACAGCTGTGGCTAATGCCATTGTATCTGGAAGAGCTGTGGGTAGTATGGAAAGGAATGGCTGTAATAAAACTTTGTTTACAAATGAGGCAGTGGGCTGGATTTGGCCCATGGGCCGTAGTGTGCTGAGCCCCTGATCTAGGCTAAAAGAGAAATCTCCCAAGTAGATTCTTTGGGCTGAGTGTTGGTGGCACTTAGGGCATTTGGAGCCCAGGGAAGGCCAAGGTGGGCTGTATGAGTGAGGAAGACCTCCCTTGCGGCCCACGTGGGCTGGGCTCTAAAGTGATGCAAGAATTCCAGGTGCAGGGAACAGGAGGAGCCAAGGCCTGGAGGGAGGGAGGGATCTTGTGATCAGGAAGTCGCCTGTTGAGAAGGAGGACACTGGCTGGACACATATCACAGGCTGGTACAACAGACAGCTGTGTGATTCAGACTTGGTGGTGGGGCTGTAGGGAGCCATTGCCGGTTCTTGAGCAGGAGGTGCTCCAGTGAGAGTGGACCTATCCCCACAGGGTAGGGGCAAAAGGAAGAGACAGTGAGGAGGCTGGCCAGGAGGTTGCTGGGAGGAAAACAAGGGTCTGGTCTGAGCCCCCATTGCCAGCTATGTTTTGTCGTTGGCAGCGCCAGTGGGTCTGGGGGCCTGGTGGGTATGGAGCCATCCTGCTGGTGAACTGTGATAGGGACAATCTGAACTGTGGTCACCAGGACAACTATGACCAGCATGTGCACTGTCTGCAAGGTAAGGGGGGTCATGACAGCCCACAGGGGTTCCCACCCACGCAGCGGCTCTGAAGGCAGAGCTTGGGGCCAGAATTCCAGCCCCTGGACACACTGACGTTGCTCAAATCCCCCAGCACCCCCAGTGCCGTGCTGGTGCAGAACTCTGGAAGTGAGTTGACTCACCTTTCTCTCCCTCCAGGGGAGCAGCAGATGCTAACATTATGTGAGCACCTACTGTGTGCTGGGCTGTTTCCCCAAATTCTCATTTAATCCAAGCAGAAGGGCAGCACACCCCAATTTAGAGAAGAGCAGGTTGGGGCCCAGAGGTCAGAATGTCCCCAGAGTCAGCCAGCCTGCGGCAGACCCAAGGCTTCCTATTCCGACTCCGAATCTGGCCGCCTCTTCAGGCACCTGTGGCCTGCGGGTCAGCAATGCCCCATATTCTGTCAAATCCATCCCAACCCGCACAGAAATGCTGCCGCACCAGCCCGCGGCCTGGGCCAGGTGCTCCACAAATGAGACGCTCACAGCTGCTCGGAAAGTGGGCACAATTGTCCCTTGTTCTAGAGGTGGGAACTCTGAGGCTCAGGGAGTGAGGAGCTCGCTCATTGTCACCAGCCAATGACGTGGGGCTGAGACTGGAACGTCCCCTGCGTGCCGCCCAGGTGGCCTTCTCGCCCCCACTTCTGTTGAGCACCTGCCGTGTGCCGGGCAGCCGAGTGGCTCGTTTCTCTGGGCAGATGAGGAAATGGAAGCCCAGAGAGGGTGTGAAGTGGCTCCCCATGCCACAGTCTGGCAGACATCTGCATGGTTTCTCTTTATGCTTTCTAGTGGGTTCGCGGGGTGGGCAGAGCTGCAGCTCTGAGACCAGGGTGTTGGCAGCCTGTGTCTCCGGAGGGCAGCGGGCAGGAGGAGGAGGTGCTGAGCACCAGGGCCTCCTGAGTTGTCGCCCACTGTCTGGCTCCACAGACCTGGAAGACATGTCAGTCATGGTCCTGCGGACCCAAGGCCCTGCCGCCCTCTTTGATGACCACAGACTTGTCCTCCACACCTCCAGTGACGATGCCAAGCGGGCACAGGTCTTCCATGCCTATGGTGAGTTCATGCACTCTACACCAGGGGGGGCCTCAGTTTCCCCGCCAGGGGGCGGAAGGCAGGCTCTGCTTTGGCTTCCAGGTGTCCAGGGGTCAGAGGAAGATCAGTGAGATGTGGCAGCTCTGAAACTGGCCAGCTGGCATCCCCAGCACAGACGTGGCCCAAGGTCATTTTATGGGATGAATGAATTTAAAAAATATATTTTAAGCATGTTTAGACATTTTTAGTAAACTTGCAAACATGCACAAAAGCAGAGAGAACAGTGTAATGCACCCCCATCATGCCAACCACTCAGATCCAACAGTTACGACTATTTTGCCCCTGTTACTTCATCTACCCCGTCCAGACACCATGGCCATTGTCCCTATATAACTCAATGTGCATCTCCTGAAAAAATAACAAAGAACAGAAAAACAGCTATCACGTTACATATCCACAATGCCCTTGTCACAGGACAAACAAGGATATAAAACACCTTTTAAAAATACATTTGTGTACAAGTAATAAGATGCTCATTTTTTAAAATGTCAAATAATTTGGAAGTATATAAATATGTAAAATATGAACATTCTCTATCTCTAACCCAAAACCTGACTCTTAAAGTGATTTTTCATGTTTCTCCTGACCGTCTTCTATATGCACGAAATGAATCTTCTTGTGTGTGTGTGTGTGTGTGGTGTGTACATATTCTACCCTCCAAACTGTCTCTTTCACAGGATTATACAGCCGACACATCTTTCTGTGTGGTTACATTGCTCTGCTCCACTCTCTTCCAGAGCTCCCAGTTTGGTATTCTCAACTAGGCAGGGGTGTCATTTCTCCAGTCCCCTGAACACACAATTGTTCGCAGTGTTTTGGTTTGCCAACACTATAGGTTCCTTGAGGGCAGGGACCTTGCTCACAGCCATCTTGCATCTAGAACCATGCCTCGCAGGTGCATGGGAGGTGCTCGGTCAACATCTGTTTAATGAATGAATAAACACCCGTGAACACCCTCGTACATGTATTTTGTAGAAAAGTACCCAGAAGTAGAATTGCTGGCTAGGGGTAAATATGGCTTTGATAGATGCCCCCAAACTGCCATCCAAAATATCTGAACGGCAGTCTTAGGAAGGAACGCCCCTTTCCCCTGGCCTTGCCCTTGCTGATTATCAAGCATTTTTCTCTCCTTGCTGGTGGGAAGGGAAAGGTGGGGCTGTTACCTGGCTTGCGTTTTTTGGTGAGGTTACACAACCCTTCCTTCATCCCTCCTGCTCCCTGGGCTCCCTGGGGAGTCAGGGCCACCCTTTTGGTCCCCTCCCAGGTCCCAAGGACTCGTGTGAGGCCTACAGGCACGTGCTGGGCCAGGACAAGGTGGCATACGAGGTGCCCCGCTCCTACAGGGACGAGGAGCGCTTCCTCGTGGAGGGCCTCTCCTTCCCGGATGCCGGCTTCACGGGGCTCATCTCCTTCCACGTCACCCTGCTGGATGACTCCAACAAGGTAGGGGTGGCCAGGGCCCAGTGGGGAGACGGGCTCTGCTCCTGGGAGAGATGGGCACCACTGGCATGAGGGACTTCAGATTTCTTTGCCATCCTGATGGCACCTCTAGAAACTGAGAGATGCAAGTGGCTGCTCAGGGGCCACGTGGTCCTTGAATCACCCAGGTCTCTGGACTCCGAGGCCAGTGCTCTTTCCCCTTGGCTCCTTCCTGCTAGGATTTCTCTGAGGCCCCCATCTTCACGGACACCGTGGTGTTCCGCGTGGCGCCCTGGGTCATGACGCCCAGCACCCTGCCACCGCTGGAGGTGTACGTGTGCCGGTGAGTCCGGGGGCACTGGGTGCCCTTCTCATCCAGGGGGTCCCTCTGGCCCCTAGACCCAGCTCTTTCCTGAGCCACTCTCCCTGGGCTTGTCTGCAGGGTGAGGAACAACACGTGCTTTGTGGACGCAGTGGCGGAGCTGGCCCGGAAAGCTGGCTGTAAGCTGACCGTCTGCCCGCAGACCGAGAACCGCAATGACCGCTGGATCCAGGTACCGTGGCCACCGGCAGAACCCAGAGGGACCCTGTCCTTGAGGGAGAGGCTGGTCTGCCCCCACCAGGGAGCAGGAAGGAGGCTGCTGGGATGATCCTGGAGGACCTGGGCCTCAGGGTCTCCCCAGGGCTCCGCTCTTTCTAATGCCAGACCTAGTGCTTCCCTCTGCCCCGAAATTTCTGGAGACCCAGACACACACTGACACTGGCTTCAACATCCACTCACACCCATGGTGTGGGTTAGGCACGGGGCTGGGCCTGGAGGAAATGGCAGAGGCGCAGGACACGCACACCCTGGCCTCAGCGGCCTGGGCCTGTGGTTCTCAAGGAAAGTGAGTTTATCCCCCTGGTAGTATCTGGAAATATTTTTGGCTGTCATGCTGAGGAGGGTGGTGCTACTGGCTTCTGGTGGACAGAGCTCAGGGATGCCATCAAGAATCCTACAGTGCACAGGACAGACCCCACAAGGAAGAACTGTCTGGCCCCAAACGTCAATAGCGATGAAGCTGAGAAACCCCGATATGGTAAATTATTGTGACAAAAATCCCCACTCCTACAATCTAAGATGTAGCAGAGGTGCCAGCAAAGTGCAGCAGGGTTTGGAAGAGGGTGTCATCACCTGTCTGGGGGATAAGTGAACACTCCAGGTGGAGGGCCTCTGAGCAGAACCAGATTAGGTAAATGGGTGGCTAATGATTGCCACTGTTTATCGAGCGCTTACTGTGGGCCATGCATAGTATCATTTCGTCTTCTTGACAGCTCCCTGTCACTACCCACCTGAGGAGCACTTGAGAGCAAATGCCCAGGGCCCCAGAGCTGGTAAGGGTGTGCTGGGACTCAGGGGATGGTCCTGGCTGAGGACTAGCATGTGCAAAGGCCCAGAGGTGGGAGGCGTGAGAAAGACTGTCTCGTGCTCCTGTTGGTCAGGGCCAAGTTTCTGTGAAGGGCAAGATTTGAGGTCGGAGACCTTGAATGACAAGCTAAGGAGCTTTCATGACTACAGGGTCATCGATGAGGTGGTTCAGGGCAGGACCCTGGAGGAAGATGGGCTGGGTTCAGATCCTGGCTGCGCTGCTGACTGGCTGTGTGAACTTGGACAAATAACTAGACCCCCTTGTTCTTCACTTTCCTCATCTGTAACATGGAGTGATAACTGTCCCTCTGCATAGGTGTGTCACAAGGATCAATGGGAGTAATATTTATAATGAGTGTGAATCAGAGCCAGGCACGTACTAGGGAGCCTCTTGGATGTGTAGTTCACAACGCTGGGCCATCTTTGCCTCCACGCCCAGAGGCGTCAGGATTGACCCGGACGTGTTTACAGGTCTGAGAAAGAGGCAGGCCTGAACCTCCTCAGGTCCCCTCAGCCCAGCTGTCAACCCCTCATAACCATCTATGAAAGCCGGAGGTGCACGCTGATGCCCAGCAGCCCATCTGTCCAACTCAGGCCGTCCCGAGCTGCTCTCTGTGTCCACTCAGCCCTGACCCAGCACGGGGACACCACCATGGTCACATCTGTTTCTCATTCATTCCCGGCCTGTCTTGCTGTGTGGCTCTAGTCAAGTGCAGCCCTATGAGCTTCCAGCTCCTCATCCACCCAGTGAGCATCATGACCCTTGTCCTTGTTGCCCACTAGGGCAAAGCAGGCCAGGGGAGAACCCTCCTGTGAATAGTGTTCCCCGAAGCGCTGAGTGCGAGCAGGCAAGGGAAGCTGCCGCCGGTCCACAGCCGGATGTCTGTCGTTCACAGGACGAGATGGAGCTGGGCTATGTTCAGGCACCACACAAGACCTTCCCAGTGGTCTTCGACTCCCCCAGGAATGGGGAGCTGCAGGACTTCCCTTACAAAAGAATACTGGTGAGTGGTCCAGGCTCGCAGCCCAGGCCTGGGGCCAAGGGACGCTCCCCAGGGACATTACCCTGAGGGCCACCCTGGGGTGTGGCATGCAGAGGGCAGCACTGGGCACCCATTCTCTAGGGACAGGAGTGTGGGTTGCCAGATAAAATACAGGACAGGCCCAGTTACATTTGCATTTCAGATAAACAATGAGTAATTTTGGCATAAGTGTGTCCCAAATGTCGCATGGGACATTATTTATGCTAAAAATATGTTTATTATTTATCTGAAATTCAAATGTAACTGGGCATCCTGTATTTTTATTTAGTAACTCTGGTGCCTAGATGAGGGAGGTGAGACAGTGCAGCTGCTAAGAACAAAGGCTTTGGAATTAGAACAACCAATCAATTACATGCTGTGTGACCTTGCCTGAGGGACTTCCCCTCTCTGAGCCTCAGTTTCCTCATCAGTAAAAATGATATAGCTCTGGCCTCACGGGCATTTGTCAGTCTTCTCTGACACCATCAGCTGATATTACTATTGCTAATGAAGATAATTGTGAATATGGTGGTTGCTGACCAGGACCTCCTTGAAGAAAGAGGGGAGAGTCCCTTGGTCCCATAAAGGATGGGAGGTCCCTCCAGCCCCCGACCGGATCACGGTGGTGCTGGAGCTCTCACCAGGCCCTCACTGCTGTCTAAGTTCTCTCTAAGAGGTGGCCTTGGGGAACTTTCCCCTTCTCCAGAGTTGAAAGACTGAGGCTCAGAAACCCTTCGCCAGCCTCTTGGTCCCCAAGGACAGGCTGCTCTAGAGTAGCAGAAATCTGCTGGTGGGCTGGACTTGGCGGGAAGGCCACAAAGGAAGTGAGGGGAGGCCATGGTCTCAGGCTCCGTGTTGAATGGAGAGTGTAGGTGCAGCCAGGGCCCTCTCTGCTATCTCCCTGTGACCATGGGGAATAACGTGCCCTAATATGGCAGCAGGGCCAGAGGAGCTGTATATTTCCCAGCTGCGTGCATGAAACACTGAATAGATCAGACCCCCTTCTTTGACTCATTATTTCCATCTGAAGAATGGGCAGCCACTCCTGCCCTGTTTTTAAGGAGCTCAGGGCCCAGCTAGTTGGTCCAAGCTCTTCCTGGTGTGCACCCCCCACCGGCCTGATTCAGTTTCCCCCACCAGGGTCCAGATTTTGGCTATGTGACTCGAGAACCACAAGACAGCCCTGTGAGTGGCCTGGACTCCTTTGGGAACCTGGAGGTCAGCCCCCCAGTGGTGGCCAACGGGAAAGAGTACCCCCTGGGGAGGATCCTCATTGGGGGCAACCTGCCTGGGTGAGAAAGGAGCAGGGAGAGGTGTTCCTGGGGTGGGTGGTGATCGTGGCTGGGAGCATGAGGGGCTGTTCTACTGAATGAGAACCAGAAAGGAGTGATAGAATTGTAGCCCTAGAGATGGTGGGATGGGGGTGGGAGATGATGAGCTGTTCACCAGACACTATCCACACTTACCTGGGGAGTATGAGAAGCCAGGGTGAGCAGGGACCTAAGAACTCATTCAGTCCAACCCTTACATTCCACAAGTGGGCCCAGAGAGGGTGAGTGACCTGGTAAAGGTCACACAGAATGCAAAGTTATGGTTAGACTTAGGTCTTTTGCAACAATAGAGGTTACTAATAGCAGTATATGAATTAATAGATACAGAATAAAAAGCTTCAAGTCTCAACAATCCTGGGAGAAATTGCATTTAAATCAATTTGTTCATACTATAATGTAAATGACTAACATCAGCTCTTTTCCTGAGAGCAGGAGAAGGGAGGTATAGGACATAAAAGTGAGATGGCAGTAACACACACAGACACACACACACACACACACACACACACACACACAAAATTGTAGCCCTAGAGATGGTGGGATGGGGGTGGGAGATGATGAGCTGTTCACCAGACACTATCCACACTTACCTGGGGAGTATGAGAAGCCAGGGTGAGCAGGGACCTAAGAACTCATTCAGTCCAACCCTTACATTCCACAAGTGGGCCCAGAGAGGGTGAGTGACCTGGTAAAGGTCACACAGAATGCAAAGTTATGGTTAGACTTAGGTCTTTTGCAACAATAGAGGTTACTAATAGCAGTATATGAATTAATAGATACAGAATAAAAAGCTTCAAGTCTCAACAATCCTGGGAGAAATTGCATTTAAATCAATTTGTTCATACTATAATGTAAATGACTAACATCAGCTCTTTTCCTGAGAGCAGGAGAAGGGAGGTATAGGACATAAAAGTGAGATGGCAGTAACACACACAGACACACACACACACACACACACACACACACACACACACAGAGTTACCCATTATTTGTTATTCAGCATGTGACACAGGGATAACAATGGAAAAGAAAAGGGATTATGTGGTGATGGTTATCTGCTGTGGAATAGGTCAGGACATTGAGCCAACCAAATTCAGCAAAGCAGTTAGAACAGACTTGTAGTCAAATGACAGGTGAATTAAGAAGCTTTGGAGGCCATTCATTGCCCTCAAAAACAAGATCCCACAGAAAGAGGATGTTTGGGCATGCCATTAAATATTTTTCCAGAAGACAAAACAAAAAAAGGGTTCAAATTCACAAGGATAAAATGGTGGGGCTGTGAGCGCCCTCTGGGATGGTCTTGTCCCCCTCTCTCCCGACTGGTGTGCAGGAAGGCGAGGCTGCAGTGAGAGCTGTAAATTAAGCTCAAAGAACAACCCCTGGCCTCGGGATGACATATGGTAGTGAAGTCAGTCTCTGGGAAAATGTGAGGATGGGTCTGAGGCTGATTCTGACAATTTGCCTGGATAGCAAGACCTGGCAAGTCCCTGACTATCGTGCATCAGCCTCCCCAAGAGCTCACCCTGAATGGAATTTTCAGATATATTTATTGTCTTTCCTGCTTACAAAAAGCAAGGCGTGTTTTTGTTTTTGTTCTGAAAAATAAGGTATTGCAGAACTTTTATTTTTTAGTTAAGCAACATCTTTTTAACCCCTTGGGCCCCAGGTCCAGTGGCCACAGGGTCACCCAGGTGGTGCGGGACTTCCTCAATGCGCAGAGGGTGCAGCCCCCCGTGGAGCTTTTTGTGGACTGGTTGGCTGTGGGCCACGTGGATGAATTTCTGAGCTTCGTCCCTGCTCCCGATGGGAAGGTGAGGACTTGGGTGACGTGCCTGTCCCCAGCATCCAGGGGATGAGCTCCAGGGGGCCAAGCTGAGGCCAGGGAGCTCAGCCGAGTCTGGTGTCTCCACACAGGGCTTCCGGATGCTCCTGGCCAGCCCCGGCGCCTGCTTCAAGCTCTTCCAGGAAAAGAAGCGGCAGGGCCACGGCGGGGCCCTCCTGTTCAAAGGGGTCATTAGTGGGTACCAGTGCCGTGTCCCTCATCCCAGCTTTCCTGCCCCTCACCTCAATCCAGACACAGTGTGGCTTGAGAGAGGGATGGCACATTTGAGAGCAGGGATGTCCCCCAGGATTTGGGAGCCCTCACTCCTGCCGCTGCATGCCTTACCCACCAGCCACCCTGCCGTGGCTGGGGCAGAGCTGGCAGGGGGTGCAGGGTGGATGATGGGCTTGGGGAGAGCACAGACAGATGGACACATGGCCAGCTTTGTGGGCCTGTGACCAGTGCAGTTGGTCAGGGCCCTCTGCTCAGAAGGTCCCATGGATTGGGCTTCAGTGCTCTGTGGTTACTGTCTTGAAATCCTTGGTAATTTGTGCTTATCTGCTGCGGCTGAGTCCTGCTAGTCCACTCCTCTGCCCCTGGAGCCTCAGCCCCCCGTGGAGGCCTCCCTCCAGCTCTGCCTGGCAACACTGCAGCCCTCTACCTCCAGGGCAAGCTGGCCATGGGGAGTGGTGGGCGCCCATGCCCCTCAGCATCTCAGGGTAGGGCCTGGCATCCGTCATCCCTGTCCTGGACTGCACTGCCATGGGGCATGTGCCAGGTACCTAGCACATCCTGGTGTGATCGCGAAACCCACATTTGCCAGAGTTTGGGGCGATGGGACTGTGGGAAGAGGAGAAGTCTGGCTGGATGAGGGTCCTGGGCGCTCGGGCTGGGATTCCTGGCATCCAGCGGGCTATGCACATATGCCAACTCCCAGGCAGGGCTCCAGGCACGACAAGGGTCTACACTTAGCATGCATGCGTCCATGTGCCCGAGGGAGTGTGACATCAAAGGGCAAGCAGCAAACCCACCATGACAGGGCAGGAGGGAGATGCGCTGAGGAAAGAAATCCTTTATATTTTAGTGCCTTTCATGGTGCTTTTTCCTGCCCTTTGAGCAAGGGACCCCACATTTTCATCTTGTCAGGAGGAACCCTGAGAGGGACCGCTGGCTGGGGCTGGAGTGGGTGCCCAGGCTTGCTAGAAAGGCTCAAATTCCATCCCCGCCAAGACTGCCTGAATCCTAGAGGAACCTTCCTCCATCCAGGACTCCCAGGGCTGCAGGGCAAAGACCCTTTGGCCAGGGGGATTGTGGATTTTTCTTGGCCTCATGGGAGGTAAATAATGCCCTGGACCAAACCTATCTCTGAGATGGAAGCTTCTGCAGAACTGAGAAGCTCACAGGTAGAACTTCCCACGATTCTTTCTCCCCACTCCCTACAGTTACCCCATCCCTACCACTCTGGAACCCCGGCTGCCAAGTGGAAGAAATAGGTCCTCCCAGCCCCGCTGCTCCCTTAGGGGCCCTGACTAAACTCTTTTGAGCCCGGACCCATCCTCAAAACTCCTCAAATCTAAATTTTACATACCAGGTGGGGAGAAGGCCTTCATCTTGCCTGGAAGTACCAAACTGACAGTGAGCAAGGCCCAGGGAGAGGCTGAGCCATTTTTCCAACCGCCCAGCTGGGAAGGAGAGTGCAGGGATTCACAGCTGTTGTGGCATACACAGCCACCATGCTGCCCTGGGAGCTGCCCCGGGGCAGTGACCATGGTGACCCAGCACACCCCACTGCTCACCTGCTGTGTGCCAATGCCTATGCCCATTACCCCATTGGATGTCAGGGAGCCTGTGAGATTAGTCTCATCCCCTTCACCTCCATCACACCCAGAACTCAGGGAAGCTGGGGAGGTCACAGGCCCAGAGGTCTCAGCAAGAATGCCATGGAGCTGGAACTGGACCCCAGCTGTGTCATTCCAACTGGGGTGGAGGGGATGCTGGGCCTGTAGATGGGCAAGTATGCCCAGGGAGCCCTCTCCTTTCCCTTGGTCAAAGCTTGAGGCCCTTTGTGAGCACTGGGCTTGGGTTTGAATGACAAGCCCTCCATTTCCTAGCTTTAAGACCTTGGGCAAGTCATTTTACCTCTCTGAGCCTCAGTGTCCACATCTATTAAGTGGGAATAATAATGCATACCTTGTGGGCTTTCATGTGGGTTAAATGTGCTGAACTTAGAGCCCTGAGCTCAGGGTCTGTGCACAGTGAGGCCTAATAAACGGTAGCTGTAAGGATGTGAGCCGTTGGCTCCAACCTCCCCTTCCCTGTCCAGGCCCGTCTCCACAGACACCCCATCAAGCAGGCAGGCAAGCAGGCCTGCAGAGGACCCCTTTGCCATGCAGTCACCCCTTGGAGGGCAGGGACAGGGTCCAAAGATGTCCTATGGGGCTGGCACTGATGGACAAGTGGGTGCCCCAGCCCCACCACCATCACCAGCCAAAAGAAGCGGAATCATTACCCAGTGTGCTGGGCGGGGTGTAAATTTCCCATCACTACTTCCACCACTACTTCCAGTGCACTCGGATGAAGATCTGAAGTTAGTAGCGCTGCAGCCACCTGCCCCTCCCCCTCCTGACACACCCAGACTTGCACGGAGACCAGCCTGAGCTCTGCTGGGTAGTGCCTCCCTGGGGCCCAGAAAGGCCAGAGAGCTGCTGACTCAGCAGGCCAGTAGCTGTGAACTTGGCCTTTGCTTGGCAGCTTCCCAGACTAGATGGTCCTCACTGCCGTCATTGTCCCTGCCTTCCCTTCACGTCTTGGTCTTCCTCCTTCCCAGGTAATGAGCAGGTCAACACCATCTCCATCAACCAAGTTCTTTCCAATGAAAACCTCATCAGCTACAATAAGTTTGTGCAGGTACAAGGGCCCGGGCTTGTGAGTGGAAGGTGGGCATGGCTGGGGACAGAAATGGGGATGGAAGTCTGAGGCTCATGGTTCATAAAAGCTCAGCTGGAACTGGCCCAGACAGACGGGCTCTAATCCCCTCTTTTGACCCAAGAGATATGGGCATTAGCCATGAGTATGTGAGGAGGACAAGCATTCCAGGCAGAGGGAACTGCACAGAGAATGGCCCTGAGGTAGAACAAAAGGAAATGAAATATCTGAGAATGAACCAAGGAGCTGATGTGATGTGAGGAAAGGCCAGGTCACATAAGGACTTGTCGGGCATTAGTGCTAGGACTCTAGCTGTGGCCCTGAGTGAGATTTGAAGCCACTGGCAGGATTTGACTTAACGCTTTGAAATAATCTCTCTGCTGCTGTGTTGAGAATGTATCGATATTTCACAGCAGATGGTGCGAAGTGGTGACATTAGGTCCTCGCAGGGAATCCCTGGATAAATGCAGGAAAGTTAATTGGGAGAATAATTACAAGGCATGGCAGGATTTGAGGAAATTCACGAGGGGCCACCAGTATGCCAGGCCAGGAAGACAGGCACTGTCACACCCCTAGGCCTGAAGGAATCAGGGAAGGGACCTGGTCCTGGAACCTTATGTCCCTGTGGTTTTACGGTTGTTATGAAAAGAAGGCTGTGAGACAGGAGCCGTGACCTGCACAGCCGAACCACAGGGACCTGGCGGGGAGGACCCTGCCAGAACAAATAACCCCACTGCACTCTCCTACCAGCCCCCATCTCATCCCAGTGCCCCCACTGGCTGAACCCACCCAGAAGCCAAAGGGCTTGGGAGCCCCTGATACCCGAGGGCCAGCCTGCCAGGGCACAGAGCAGAGGAAAAGGGGTGCAGTGGGGTGGGAAGACCAGAAGCACCCAGCACGGGGTCATCCAAGAAGCAAGTGCCAAGATGGACGAAACATGCAAGGGTGCCATTAGGGGCAATGCCTGTGCCAGGGAAGAGGAAGGGAGTTGGAGGAGGCAGGAGAGGAAAGGAAGGCTCGGGGGAGGCAACCCATACTGCCCTGCTGTGCAAGACAGCTTCGGCAAAGCTGTGTGGGCTCCGCCAAAGTCAGCCGTGAGAGGAGGTCCCCGTCTCCCAGAAACAGGTCCGCCCGAGTATCATTGTCGCACCCACGCATGCAGCTGGTCGGTGGTGAGACCTCGGCCGCAAACACGGGAAGGGTTTCAGAGCCAAAGCCCAGCAGCAAGGGCAGGCCCCTGGTCAAGTCCACTCCCGTGGCTGGAGGTCTGTGGGGAGCCTTACTGTGGCTGCCTCATGGGCCAAGGGCAGAAGAAGCAACGAGACTGGTCGGGAAGCCACTGCAGCCACCAGGCGGGAGGGGACAGCCTGTCAGGTGGAAGCAGTGGAGGGCGCGGGAAGAGGCCAGAATGGGGCCGGATTGTAGAGGCGCCCATGGGACTTGCTGATGATGGGCATGGAGTGGGAGGGAAGGAGGCATCGAGAGCAACAGCAGGGCTCTTGCTCTGAACAGTGGGATGAATGGTGGTGACATTTACAGAACTGAGGAACCCTGGGGGAGGAGCAGGTCGGGCACAGTGTAGAAATGAAGATTTGTCTTTAGGCACATCCTATGTTATGTGGCTGTTGACAGCCTAGGAAAGATGGGGGGTGTTGGCGATCTGGGCACGTCTGAGCTTGGGAAAGAGGGTGGGCTGTATAAAGTGGCCTGAGAGATAGAGGTTTGGGAGTTGTCTGTGTCTAGATGATGTATTAAACCATGAGACTGCAGGAGATCCCCTAGGGAGTGAAGGATCTCGGGAAGGGAAGAGGGTCAAGGATGGAACACTCATTTGAGCCCAGCTAGTGGGATAGTTCTGTGAGCGGTGGGACACAGGGCGGGTGTATTTTGATGAAGGGGCACAAGTATACGTGGAGAGGTGACTCATGAACACTTGACATGATCTCTTGCACCCTCTCAACACACACTGGCAAGTACCCCAACACCCTGGGGTCCCCGTAACACACACAACTCCCCAACTCTGCATTCTTAGAGCTGCATCGACTGGAACCGCAAGGTGCTGAAGCGGGAGCTGGGCCTGATGGAGCAGGACATCGTGGACATCCCCCAGCTCTTCAGGATGGAGAGGAGAAAGGCGGTGGCCTTCTTCCCTGACCTGGTGAGACCACCATCTGTGACTTAAGGTTTCATTAAGTTCAGCTCCAAGGCTCTGGTTGCTGCCATGTTTGGGATTGTGACGGCTGCTGGGGGTGGCAGAGAGAACCGAGGATCCCGTGGCGGCCAGCAGAAGGGCTTCCCATTGGCTGGCCATCATGGTCAGTACAGGATGCTCATTGGCCAAGCCCGTGGCTCAAGGGCTGTCAGGGAATAGCCCTTCCTCCTCCCAGGGTCCCACTGGAAATGTGCAGAGTGACAGGATGATTGCATGAGGCTGTGTGTGTGAATCACACATCCTCAACTGGGAGCTCGGATGCGCATTCTGCTTGCTTCCTCCCAGCTTGCAGCTACTCACCCACCCCCCATATATTTAGGGCACCCTGTTGGAGATACAAAGATGATGAAGTCTGCTCCCTGTTCTCAGGGAGCTTCCAATCTAATCTGGTGTGGGGGGAAAACTCTTCACCTCTCTGAGGATGCGCCCCAATGATCTGCTTTGTATAATAAAGTGGCGTGGCAGTTAAGAGGTGGCATGAAGCGTTTCCGGCCTGAGAGGTAGGACTGGAGATCCAAGAAGGCTTCATGGAAGAAGTGGTCATTGATTGAGCCCCGAGGGCTTTTCTTCTGTTGCTTCTAAAACTTGGAGCTGCATCTGGAACACCTGGATGATTGGGGACCCCTCACCCGAGGTGGGATGTGGGGGGTTCTGATTCAGCAGGCAGGTCTGGGGGTAGGGCTGAGACCCTGATGCCTTTCTGGCCCAGGTGGCGCTGATGCCACTGCGGACCATGCTTTGAGTGGCGCTGCTGTAGATCACCCAGCTCCCCTCCACATCCCCTTCCCCTCCATCTCCATCCCCCAGAGGAACTCAGCTTGCCCATCATCAGAGCCTTACAGGGAACTGTCCACACTGCCATTGCTTCATCCCCCTTCCTTCCTTCCCCATTCTGGCTTTTTGCCCTCCTTGATTACCCCACTTGCAAAGCCTCTCATCATTTGCCTTCCTTCCTGCATGTTTAAGGCAGCCTTGCAATTATTATGTATTCGGGCTCAGGGCACCATGCGCCACCACTTGAAGGAGAAGGGCTGCTGGCGCACGTTGGTGCCGCAGTATGTGCCCCCAGAAGCTTGTGCATGGGTTCAGGTTCTTGTGTTTGCAAGAAACAGGGCTGCCCAGGCCGGCTCAGCCAGAACGGGAGATTTAACAGAAGAATGCCATGAAAGCTGTGGGCAGGGATGGCTGCAGTGGGCGTGTCAGGAGGGCCTGGAACCATCTCTCGTCTACATCATTCATTCCCCCATACCTTCCTGTCCCCAGAATGGCTTCCTTTGCTTCGCTGTCCCTGGGGACAAATATGAATATGGCCACATATAGATACAGACATATCTGACTTGACTGTCCCAGATGTGAACCTCAGATACCAGAGAGAATCGGATAGGTCCAGCTTGGGTCACATGTCTACTCTGGTCCAATCAGCTCCTGCCTAGGAGGTTGGGATTCTTTTTTTCTTTTTGATATATTCTTAATTTTTTTAATATCATATTTTTATGAAGTATAGTTGATCTATAATATTATAGACTGCAGGAGATCCCCTAGGGAGTGAAGGATCTCGGGAAGGGAAGAGGGTCAAGGATGGAACACTCATTTGAGCCCAGCTAGTGGGATAGTTCTGTGAGCGGTGGGACACAGGGCGGGTATACAGCAAGTGACTTGGCAGTTACCTGCATTATTAACTGCTCACCCCACTAGGGCCGATACAGTCAACGTAGACACATGTCACAGAGTCATTGACTGTATTCTCTATGCAGTACTTTCATCCCATGACTAATTTATATCATGATTGCGATTCCGTGCCTCTTTATCCCGTGACTGCTGGGAGATAGGAGGTTGGGATTCCTAGCGCAAACAAGTGGCCGCCACAATCCACCAAGGAGGGCAGTCGCCACCAGAGAAATACGGTGTCACTATGAGGCTGCAGATGCTGTCATGGGAACACGGAGCCAGAAGAGTCCTTGCCAGCCTGGCTCCTCTTCCCCTGCCGGGAAGGGCGCAGAGCTGTTTTCAGGGCTGCACAAAACACACACATTCCCTGCCGGGCACATTGCAGTGTCAGGTGGGAGCTGATGATGAAGACCTGCCCCTGACCTGCGACCCCGCGTCTCTGCAGGTGAACATGCTGGTGCTGGGCAAGCACCTGGGCATCCCCAAGCCCTTTGGGCCCGTCATCAACGGCCGCTGCTGCCTGGAGGAGAAGGTGCGGTCCCTGCTGGAGCCACTGGGCCTCAACTGCACCTTCATTGACGACTTCACCCCATACCACATGCTGCACGGGGAGGTGCACTGCGGCACCAACGTGCGCCGGCAGCCCTTCTCCTTCAAGTGGTGGCACATGGTGCCCTGAGCCCGAGCCACCCACCACCCTCTCCCCCTGGGGTGGGACATCGGCCTGTCGGGTGATGGGGACTGAGACAGGCCCCAAACAATAAGCATCAGGAGACCCCAAGATTCCACATGGAACACGGAGGGTGACGTCCCTCTCAGAAGCCTTTTCCCCGGAAGTGTGCATGCCTCCCCTCAGACTTGATTCCTCCTGGCCTCCCAGGAAGAAAGACCTCATTTCCTGTGGCCTCTCATGTGGACCAACGTGACCCAGGGGGGTGCCTCCAAACTTCTCCCTTCATACCCCCCAAGTCATCCATTTGGGGCCTGATTCATTTTGGGGTCTAGAAACATCATACATGTCGTCTGCCACCCTGGTCTGTGTGTCCTAGTGGAGGGGAGACCTGCGATCCTGCTGGGGTCTGAGCGCCTCTCTCTCTGCAGGGGAGCAGCCCGAAAGCCCAATTCCTCCGCCCAGGAGAGAACCCCCCCCCCAATAGCCTCACCCTCAGGGAAGGAGCTGGGGGCCCATTTAGACCAAGGTTGAACATGATTTCAACTGCCAAGCTCCCAACCAGATGTTAAACTCTGTACCCCTCCCAGTACCCAGCATGAGCTTTCACATAGTAGGTGCTTCTAGATGTGTGTTGTAGGAATGATAGTTTCCCTTAGCCTTACAAACACCCCCTCATCTAACATTCAGGAAGCCTGGAAAATCATGGAGATGACAGTATCTGGGGGGAATTCCTGGGAACTAGGAAGCTGTGGGTGCCAGGGTGAAAACATCCTTCATAATGCATAGGGCGCTTCACTGGCCCTGGGGCCGCTGTCTGCAGGACAGGGGTCCCCTAGCAGAATTGGTCCTAGGCGTTCTGTTTGCCTCTGGTCAATGTTTCCCTATCCTGGAGGGGCCAGATCCCCTGAGACAGCTCACAACAGGACAGCTCTCAGAATGAACCACTCTGGTGCAGGAGGAGAGAGAGAGAAGGGGGGTGGTTTTCTCTAGATGTGTGTCAGTTCACATGTGTTCTGTTTGGGTCCAGCTATATTTCTATCACTGGCTAATAAATCTACAGAAGCATGGATGCTTGGGGTCTAACTGTGGCCTTCCTTTGGGATTGGGGCGCGACAGCAAGAGCAGAGGAGTTTCTTGCAGCCGAGCATTTGCCTGGCCCTTGAAGGATTTGGGACTGACAAGGTTGCTTTGTCTTGGCCACGGGGTAAGTTAGGGCTGCCACACAGTTGCAGTGATACAGATGCATGAATCCAAGCCCAGGGGTTGAATGCCAGGCTGCCAGGACCAAGTGGCAGGGCGAGGGCCTGGGCTGTGGTCGGAAGATTGCGTTGTGAGTGTGGCAATGCGGGAAGCCAATGGGTGTGGAGCATCGGGAGGCCTGCTGGGTGCCCTTAGCAGCCTCCTTCTTTCTGCCCATGGGCACCCATAGAAAGCCAGGTGGGCTTGCTTCAGAGGCCCAGGAAATCACACCCTCTGCTCCTCGCCCTTTCAACACCCCTGTCTCTCTCCCGGAGGTGTAAAACAGAAGCACACTCAGGCTGGCCCCAGGGCTGGGGTGCTTCTGGGTGGTTGGAGAAGATGCCACAGCCTTCTCCTAATACCCACTCCTTACCACAGTTCACTTGGATTCCCAGTGCTCCACTTACGGCCAGATTTTATCCGAGTAAGCCCACCTCCAAAGGAGGCTGAGACAACAGAGGGTGCCGAGCATATCACACTTTTTGAAAGGGTTTGGGGTGGGGAATGGGACTCTTTAGAAGCCAAGTGCTTCAAACTGGGGGAACTGGGATGAGTTTCCAAGCAGGTTTTTCTCATCCCCAGATGCCCTCAGACTGGCCGCAAGGCTCTGGGTGGATCCAGTAGAGCCCTGGAAGCTTCTCACTTTCCAGTTTGCCTCCTGTGCTCTATACTGGTGTGGGTGGGACAACTGGGCAGGCTCAGGAACCTAACCCAATGCAGAAAGGAAGCAAAATAAATCCTTGTTTGGGCCACTGACAATGGTGTTCACCTGTCCACCGGTGAAGGATGCAGCCTGTGTGTTTGTTTCCGACTGCCGCTGTAACAAATCACCAACCTTAGCACCTTAAAACAACATAGATTTATTATCTTACAGTTCTGGAGGTCAGGAATCTGAAATGGGTCTCACGGGCCGAAGTGAAGATGTCAGAAGGGCTGTGTTCCTTCTGGAGCCTCTAGGGGAGAATTTGGTCTCTTGTCTTTTCCGTCTTCTAGAGGCCGCCTGCATTCCTTGGCTTGTAGCCTCCTCTTCCATCCTCAAAACCAGCAACATAGCATCTCCGACTATTTCTCTTCTGCCTGCTTCTTCTACTTATAAAGCCACTTTTGATTTCACTGGGCCCACCTGAATAAGCCAGCATAATCTACCATCTCTGGGTTAGCTGATTGACAACCTTAATTCCATCTGCAATACTGACCCCACCCCCTTACCATGGAATGTAACATAGTATAGGTCAGGTCCTGGGGATTAGAACATTGTCTTGCCAATGGGTTTCAGCCCCAGGCGAGTTCACTTATGGATTCAGTGTGGCAAAGAAATGATCACAGAACGTTCTTGGGGTGAAAGGGTTCTACCCAACTTTATTCCCACAGTGGCAGGTTAGTCACTAGAATCCCGTTCACTCAGAGCAAGTCTGCATGCAGCAAGCTGGTCTCTGCCTCTGGGCCTCTCTGTCCCTGCAGCCATCTCAGTCTCTGTCCTCAGCACCGCCACCACACCAGTGTCGTCTCTGCTCTCCTGCAGCCTAGCAGCCGTGCCACCATGTCGCCCAGAGCACTGGGCAGAGCTCTTCATATAGAGTCAATAGCAATGTATTGCCCACATGTGTGTAGTGAGCTAGCCAACCAGGGCCAGGTGAGAATCCTGGCCATAGGAACCTTCATTTTATCCACAGATGTGGACATTTTGGGGGGCCATTATTCTGCCCTCCCCAGCCAGCTAGGCCCTGACTGGACTTTCCGGCCTCCATGAGCTGGAGCACACATGTCCCCTCTGAAATCCAGCTTGCCTCCTTGACGAGTGTCACTTGAGGAGTCAGTAGGAGAAAGATGCCAGCAGTGGTGCTCAGTCCTGGACCCTTGGTGACATTGGGCTGAGACCTGTGATCCCAGGATGCAGTCTGATGGCTCCTAAGAGCGCTGGGGGCTGCTGCACCAAGTCTGAGGACAAAGGTCGCCTCACTGGCCATGGACTTTCCAGATGGCTGCTGGTGGTGCAGTGCCTTGCCCCTCCCAGGGCCTGGTTCTCAGGCCTGGAGACCCCCGGAGGGACCACAAGGAAGCCTGGGTTCTTGTGGGGGAAATCCCTCTCCCCACCCAGCGCTACGGTTCCTCCCACACAGAGGTCAGCCTGGGCCCTGGGAAGGTCAGGACCGTGGCCTGAGGGGGCCTGAGGCTGCCAGGAGGGGGCAGTTATTTATACCCAGAGAAAGCTTGACACCCTTCTGTTTATTCCTCATTCCACACTTAAAATATATTCACTGAGCATCTACTGTTTGCCAGGCAAAGCCTCCAACCACAGGAGTTTCCATTTAAGGAGGAAGCAGGTAAAGAAAATAACTAGAAATCATGACAAGTGCTGTGAGGCAGGAAAGTGGGAGGCAGGGCATAAAGGGGGGGCACCTGCTTATCTGGATGATGATCTTCACCTCTCAGAAGAGGGTCGTTTGGGCTGAGATAAAAGGATGACACAAGCTGTGAGCAAGCAGGGAAACCCTTCCAGGCACTGGGAACACCATGCGAAAGGCTGGGGGGGAGGGGCAGGGAGGTGGGGGTGGGGGAGTGACTGCAGAGCAGCAGGTTGGAGAGACCCACACAGGCGGACAGGGGCGGGGCTGGAGTGGGTAAAGGAGGACCAGGCTGGTTCCCTGTAGCCCCACTGTGCCCCTCTCAGAGCATGCTGCGATCTCCTGCCTCCTCCCCAGGGTCTGCCCACATGCCACAGTCCCTGGGCAAAGCGACATGGTGCGGTGGAAAGGCCATGCACTTCAGTCAGCTGATCCGGCGCTGTGTGTTTAACCTTTTCAGCTGTGCGCTTAACCTCTCTGAATCTGTTGCCTCCTCTGTAAAGTGGGCATCACTGTGTCCGCCTCAGAGCCTGCATGGGGTTTAATGAGGTGCTTAGCAGCACTGTGCCTGGCACATAGTAAGCGCTCAATAAATGATGGCTGTGTCATGTAGCAGCCTCCAGACCCTCCTCAAGTGACTGCTGTATTTGCCCCTAATTCCTGCATTCTAATAGGGGACAGAGACCCTTTGAGACCAGAGGTCAGATTTGGGAGGAAGGGAAGGGAAGGCTGCTCTGGCAGCTCCTAGGTCCTCTCCTGCTGGCCTCAGCTACGTAGGGTTGACCCAAGAGGAGGTTCCGGCCCAAGGAAAGCCAGGGCCTGTCTGTCTTGTACAGATTTGCAGCTCCCATGGCACTGGGCCCGCCTGACTCACGCTGTATTCAGAATTAGGAATAAGTAACTGCAGGGCCTTGGCAGGAGGCTGCCTGATCCTGTGGCCTCCTGCACCTTGGCTGGCGGCCCCGGAAGGTGGGAGTGTCAGGCGGGGGTAACTGGGGCACAAGGGGAGGACAGCCAGAAAGGACTTCTGGATGGCTTGACAGTCAATGGCAACTGTCATTTCCTATAAAGTCATAAAGTCAGTGTCATCCCACGTCTCCCACTCCGGAATGACACCAAGCATGAGCCACGTGAGGGCATGTTTCACACACTTTACGTGTGTCATCTCATTTGTGACACATGACAGGCTAGCAGGTTGTTCCTGTCACTACGATTACCAGGTATTATTACCCTCACTTTATTGACAAGGAAACCGAGGCACAGAGAAATGAAGGAACTTGCCCGGGTCACTGAGTTGTCAAGAAGGGGAAACAGATTTGAGCCTAGACGTGTGACCTCACAGCCTGGGTTCTTAGCCAGCCACGCCAGCGGTTCTCATGCACGTCCAAATCCCCTGGGAGGCTCTTGTAAACTAGCAGGGCCAAGTCCCCACCCTGGAGATTCTGTCTGGACGCTGGGATGTCGCACAAAGCAGCCAGGATTCTGCCATGCAGCCAGTGTAGAGCAGCGGGGGGCCTTGCCATATTCATTCATTCAACACTGTATTGGTGAGAGCATCTCTGCCCCTCCCCCCCTCCCCCTCTCCCACCTAGAATCTCACTTTCAGGGGGCCGTGGTCTCCCTTTTGTGGCAGCCACTCAGGCTGTGGTGGAACCTCCAAAAACCAGACCATTCCTGCTGCATTCAAATTTTCTTGCAAGGCCAGTGGTTCTCGGAATACACGTAAGATATTCCAGAAGAATCATTAAAAATACAGATTCCTGGGAGCCCCCTCCCCTCCAGCCAAGCCTCAGAGGTCTAGGAATCTGTATGTTGTAAAGCCTCCCAGATGGTTCCGATGGATGCCCGGGTTAAAACTCTCAACAGTGTCCTGGTTATCATGGTAAAATATCTGAACACAAAGTGACAATTTATCAAGAGGGGGGTCTTTGAACTCATTCTGGCATATTCCACTCTGTGGTTGATTATACTGCTTTTTAGCAAGAATGAATAGGAAATATCTCAATTTCCATAATTATTGAGTTAGAAAGAGAAGACACAAAATAATGTGTGCAATATGTCATTATGACGACTGTGACCTCAAAGAGGCCCCCCACCTGTGAGTGTGTGTGTGTGTGCGTGTGTGTATGTATGCATATCATAACCATGTAGAAAAATATCAAAATACACACTAGGTTGTTAACATGAGTATGGCAGGGAGAAGGAAGGAGGTAAATAATGGATAAAAAAAAAACACTAAAAGGAAGTGTTATTTGGACACACGGGTGATTGCTTCAATAATTACATAATGTGTGTTCCCTGTAAAAAAGATTTTCTTTTTTTTTTTTTTACTAAAAATGAGCTGCGCTTTGGACTAAAGACTATGACCACACTTGGAAGTTAAAATATAAGTTGAAGCTTTGGAGAGAGCACAAAGGGAAGATAGCCCTTCTCATATGAAGACCCTGGGAGAAGCTTCTTGCTCC